ATTCCCCAACGCTGTTACCCTCCCCCGAATTCCCCAATAAAATCTTTAAGAAAAAGAAAATACTTGCAGAAGACACATCTGATAAAGACTGTTACCCAAAATATAAAACTCAACAAGAAAACAAACACCCAACTAAAAAATGTGCCCAAGATCTTACAGAAACCTCAGCAGGAAGATAGGCAGCTGGCAAATAAGCATGTAAAGATGGTCCACATCGTATTATCAGGGAAATGCAAATTAAAACAAAGAGATGTTTAAATCTGGCCCAAGTTCAGAACACTGACAACACCACTGCAGGTGAGAATGTGGAGCAACAAGAACTCTCATTCACGGGCGGGAATGAAAAATGGTACGGCCACTTTGAAATACCGTTTGGCAGTTTCTTATAAAACTAATGACCACACGGTCAGTCTCTTACCATATGGCCCAGCTATCTTGCTGCTTGGTGTATCCTCAAAGGATCTGAAAACTTACGTCAACACAAAAACCTGCACATAGATGTTTATAGCAGCTTTATACATAATTGTTTAAACTTCGAAGTAATCAAAGTGTCTTTCAGTAGGTGATGGATAAATAAACTGTGGTCCATCTAGGCAATGGAATACTATTCAGACCAAAATGAAATGAGCTGTCAACCCACGAAAAGACATGGAGGAACCTTAAATGCAGATTACTAAGTGAAAGAAGCCAATCTGAAAAGGCTACATCCTGTACGATTCCAACTACATGAAGTTATGGAAAAATCAGATCTATGGAGAAAGTAAAGATCAGTGGTTTCCAGGGTTTGGGGTGGAGGGAGGGAACATACAGGATTTTTAGGGCAGTGAAACTACTCTACATGATGCTATAATGGTGGATACATGTCATTACACATTTGTCCAATGTACAACACTAAGAGCAAACTCTAATGTAAACTATGGACTTTGATGCTGATGGGTCAGTGCAGGTTCCTCAGCTGTAACAAATGTACAACTAGTGGGGATGACGAGTGGGGGCAGGGGGCATATGGGAAATCTCTGTACCTGATGCTCAACTTTGCCATGAACCTAAAATTGTACAAAAAAAAGAATAAACAAATGCCCTAAAACTGAATTCTTTTACCTATTTGTTTCTCCCTAGGAAGGTAGCCAGAGAGGAAGAGGAGAAAGTAGAGCTAGATCTCTACTCTTGTCAACCATTATAATAAGTTTTACAAATTGATGAGTGAGAGATGCAAGGGAGGGGTGGGGGGAAGAGACTAAGAAATACAGATTACCGTTTATAAAAACAGTCACAGGAATGTAAAGTACAGCACAGGGAATATAGTCAAT